CCAGATTTAGTGTGAATTTGGAGTTTTCCCAATAATGAAGTTCATTGTACATTTTTTATTACTTATTTAATGGGGGGCAATGGATCAGCGTTCTTGCTGCGCTCCCCGTCAGTACCCAGGCTCGCCTGGGGAAGCCAATGATCCTTCCAGCAGACTAAATTCTTCCCCAAAGAATCCTAGTCACAGTCCCAAAGCCGAAAGCAGCAACAACAACCATTCATTGTACAAAAGTCAATGAATAAATAAAATAACAATAAATAAATAAATAAATTCTTTCTCCGCTTCATTACTTTCAAAACACATAAAAGTGTCTTTGTCCTGCAATTGAATTGTTTGCCCAGTTTTTTCTTGTCATATAAAGTTGAGCATCCACCTACATATAGCAATAAAATAAGTGGCAGACTGTTTATTTTTCTAAGTCACACAAAGTTCAGAAAGTACAAGACAACTCTATAATGTCTTTTTTGCTGAATATATGATACAAAACTTATAAGTAAACCTCTTTAACCTTATTATTAGGACAGAATTTGTCCCCTGCATTTTCTGCTAATTAATTTCACCATAAAGCAGAGCCTAAAAATATTTGGGACAGAGTTACAGTTTGCATGTGATTACTTATGTATTTATTTGAACGTTTATTCTAGGTAACATCCACTTATGACTCTACTAGATGTGACCATGTGACTGAATCATCGATCACTGAACCTCATTTGAGAACAAACCCGTACGTACATACCTATGGTACATACGTATCGTTGACTACGTGCCTTTCTGGGTCCCAAGGCCAAAGAGCATGCTCTTTGCCAAGGCATCACGTGGTAGACCCGGAAGCTTTAAGCCTCAGCGACCGGCGCTGTTCCTGCGGGTTTGTTGTGTTTCTTCTGTCTTTGTCAGCAGTGGTCGAAACTATGGAGGGAAACATGGATGTGTCCCAAACAGCATACTGCACTGTGTTAGACAAAAAGAAGCAGTCTAAATTCCTCTGCTATACACGCAGGAAAAACGGGATATTCAATATTTGGTAAGTCGAAGGTTGCGTTAATGTTTCCCACTGAACGGAGAGTACACCAAACCAATGTCCCTTTAACTCTGACAGTTTATTTCCCCGGTGCTTACTAGGAAAATTACTTTTGTGTTAGAGTATAAAAGGACGTAAACTGAATTACTGGTAGCCTCTTGTTACAACGGCATAAATATTACCCATAGTCCACCAAGCAGCGTGGAAATTCCACATAGTACTGGCAGGTCGGGTCGGTTATAGGCTAGTGTGCAGTTCTTGGACTAAACATATTCCACTTCTCTGGCTGACAAACGTCATCAAGTTGTAACTAGGTTTTCTCATCATTTTTATTTCTTGA